TCATTTCAAAGCTCATTGAAATCGACTTTAGTAAAACGCGAATTATATGGTTTCGCCATTTTTTTATTCAGTTTGGAGTTGTGGTTGAACGTGAAAATACTATCTCCATGTTTTACTTCGATTTCACCTTTGGCTGGATTATTCTATATTTTCAAAGCAAATGAATAGGGATATTTGTCGGGCATTTTTGAGAGAATTTTTTGCTCTTTAAAAAAGCATCATTTTTATCGAATTTTTCGTTTTTGGAGGGTTACTGAGTTTTTTTCTATTTTGCACTGACATTTAATGCTCTAAAATCCAGATTAATTGCTAATTATCGTATAAAATATTTTCCAGTAATAAAATAAATTTCAAATTCAAACAAAGTATTACATTCTATTGACCGTACATGCGAGTCTTACACTATAATCAAATTCAATTACACAAAAAGTAAGTAGTCCAGAAGAGACGCACCGGTCCAGCATTAAAAAAAAACTTTGGGAAATTATCAGAACACCCCCCGAAAGCCGATAGTTTGTTTGAAACGTCACTCTCATAAATGTTTGCTCTGTCGTATCACACGGCCTGATGAATCTCCACAGTGTTTTTTTTTCTACTTCACCTTTAAAAAGAAAGGACAAAAAGGTCCGTTTCAAAGCTAATGTGTGTTGTGCACATACTGTCTCTCCCCACCACAATTCAAAAAATGTGCGCCCCCCTTTTCATTTTCTTTTTTAGCCCCCCCATCAAAAAGTTGGGAGAGGAAGTGGGGAATAGAGTAGATCTAAAACGAGAGAGAAAATTCGTCCCCCCCACTGAATTGAGAGAAGATCGCAGCTCACTTCCTAGGGATGCTGCCCCCGAAGTCAGGTTCCCATGCCCCCGGGGTCTTTCATCCTCCTCTCAAGATCCCACCGTAGCCCTGCCACCTGTCCCCCTACGTCTGGACCCCCGGAATAAAAAAAAAATCCTCGAAAACCCTCCGTGTGCATTCCATCACCCGAAATGAGAGTGAATATATGTAAAAGTTTTACCACGTTTCGTTTTCAGAGTTGCCCCCTAACAAATTGTTTCTGTTCTACTAATTAGGGGGTTTTCTACACCAGAAAATTTTTTCATTTAAATTATGGCGCATATTTCGGGGCACAGGAAGTGTGCTTTCCATTTCTAATAATGGCTTTTGAATGAAAAATGGAAATTAATCAATTTTTCACTCAATGGTGGTAGAAAATAATGATAATATTGTTATGTTGGGACTTATGAGGACTGAATTACCTTTTTATTTATTTATTGAACTCTTATTAAGGCGTTTTTTTCAATAGAACATAGAAATCAATTTTCAGTGAAATTTTCATCTAATAATAATTATTTGAAATGATGGAACTGTTCAATTCTTTTCGTTTGTTTTACACTAGAAAACTAATTCTCAAGAAACTATAACTATGTTATACTATTGGGCCCTATAATCTCCAAAATATATATGTTTATTAATAATACCATGAAGACACTTTCTAATGTACTCTATAAAATTATAAAGCCCAAAACATTTGATTTTGATAATTACATTGTTTAAATTGTCTTTCTGATTTTCATCAAGTGAAGTATGGGATATATTTCTTGCTAATGACAAATCCCCGAACTATTTGGCCTCATCATTAAAAATGAATAATTCCTCCATCAACAACAATCCTAGAGTAAAAAATAAGAAAGTTCCATTCAGTCACGCATTTTAACGGTCGACTTCCTCCCATACGTCGAGACGTCATTGACCTAAAGACTAAATTCGAAAAGCGCAATTTCAATTAATCCCCCGCGTATTATTTGCCTCCGTGAAAAAAAAAAAGAATTGCGAAAGAAATCAGTAGCTGTGAAAAAAAGTTGAAAAACAGTTGGCCATAACTCAGCAAACTGGAGTGCGTCTCTGGGCGATAAAGCACGTCGGATAATTAATTTTATAGCTACTCAATTTCCAGTGAGTGTACGCGGGTAGAAGGTTAGCTACCGTCCCGGGGGCCCTTCCCCCTCCTCCCTCCACCCCCTTTCCTGAGGCCCATTTTTGTTTGTGGCAGGCATGAGGCCCCCAAAAAATGAGATTGAAGCAAAAAAAATGATAAATAAAAAGTGGAAGAGAGGAGTACGAGGAAGGAAATGGAGAGGGGGACGATGGCGCTCGGTGATGAGGCCCCGCAAGGCCCCTTGCAGATTTACGACGCAAGATTCTCTCATCGTCGGCTACTGAACCTTTGCGCATCATCATGGCCTGCTAATCCCCCAAGGACACAAAAAGTACATAGACTATTGGGAAAATAAAAAACTAGCCACGCGACACCTACAGTGTACATCATGATGCCCCGTTGGGTGGTAAAAAATGGGCCTTCAAAAGAAACTACTGTAAAAAAGTATTGAGGGGTTACAAAAAAATGTTGAAAGTGGCTTCTCTATTAACCGGTAGCATTTACTACGCTCTCAGCTGGGACTAGACGTAATAAGGCCCCAAATGTTGGGGGGTCGGCTTTTGGCCCCCAAGATGAAAGAGGGAATGAAACAAAAAAGAATGAGATTTGGTAGGTGGAGATGATGATGAAGGAAAAGGCTTGAATGGACGTTGACTCCAGGTTGAAAGAGTGATTTTGGGGGGTTGAGGGGGGAGGCGGGGGGCCAACTTCCTCTCATCATCACGTGACGCCAACGAAAAGGTAATTGCAGACGAAATTCGAATTGTCACGCATCATCATTGAAGAGAAAGGTGAGGAGCCGTTATTGGGGAGGGAAGTTCATCATCATCAACGAATTGTCTAGCAACAGTGGGGATCATTTTTCGGGTGAGTAGATTAATATTTTTGGGACCTATTCGGGAGAGGGGATAATGGAATTTCGATTGTTTCGGGTTTTCGAGGGATGGGTTGGATACCTCAGAGCGGATTTTCATCAATCTGTGGTCAATTTAAAGGTCATAAAATTCTGAATGAATTGTCCTTGAAGTGTTTCAGTAATATTAATTGATTTTTTTGTAATGGCGGATTGAGTCGGGAGTCTTTCAATTGTTAATTCGATTGAATAAAAATGGTGAAATCTTCATGTGACCCATGGACAGCCGACGGTTACATAACTCTGGGCATTTTGGTAGGGCTCCCTCCATTGTATAGATATAGGATGAAATTTTTCAGTACATAGACTCGGTAAATGGGGTATCATGTTCAAGTATTCTAAGGCTTACGGACTTTTGTTTGGCGTGGGAGGCTGTCGACCATACCCTATGGGGTGTCCCTACATGTTTAAGAGAGAGAGTCACCTTCTTTCGTATACTTCTTATACTTATTCTTCATTCTTTTGCACACATCAGCAGGCACCTGATCCGACCTTACCCAACCTAACCCAATAGCCACGTAAGAAAAAAATCAAAAAGGAGAGGAGGAAAAAAAAAGAACAGGAGAGACCCTATTCAGAGGCTATCAAGACTGCCGAATTTCTTATGGGAATCTTTTTTATATAATAGATGGGATTTTCTTCGAGGGAATCGAATTATGAGTGTGAATTACGCAATGATTTGCTTTCACGGAAAATAAATTTTTCTTTTAATTTTTTTTTACATTATAAAAAAATTGCAAAAATAATACATTTAGTTCTTTTTGTCGGTCAATGGTGAAATAAATCCTGGGGTCGATTATCATATTTTTTTTTTATCGATTATTTGAGATGTGTGTAGGGTTAAGGTCGTTGTGGTTTTCCTTTCATAATCTGGGGTAGAAGGGAGAGGAGGGGGGTATAAAAAAATGGGAAACACTTGGGGGGCTGAGATTGCAAGCGATTCAGAATGATGACGATAATGAGGATGAGGATGAGGCATATCGGTTTTGGGTTGCTGTATGTACAGTACAAGAAGATGAGCGGAAGACCAGAAGCGCAAAAGATGAAGGCAAACGTGAATGGGTGAATGGAAGTGTTGTTGTTGTTTTATTTCAGTTGTTGTTTGAGACGAGGTGAATAAGGATAGTGAATCGAGTTGCTGAAGGTGAAAGAAGTCGGAATGGGTGGGAAGGACAGAGAGAGGTGGGACAGGATGCTGTGTCGTCACGGTACACTTGCCTTCTGGACTTGAATCTCTCTTCTTTCATTAATTTTTTTCATGCGTTTCTGGAGTGAATAACATTTTCCATTTTATCTGTCTCTTGGAATTGTGGTACAAAGTGAATGCGCCTCGTTGTTCTATTGTTGTATTGTAAATTTGAAGAGTGGGCAAAATGGGTTGCACGATCAGATAGCCAGGCAAATTTCAGGCGAAAAACTCTATTTCACGACCTCATTTGCTTATTGCGTTCGCGAGTTATTCGAGAAAACGGTTTTCAAGGTCAAACAGAGATTTAACCTTGAAATAATTGTAATCAATCAATAGGGGTTGTCATGTAGAGTTTTCTAGCGGAAATTTCCCTAGCTGTCTATTAATATTGAGAAGAATTTCCAAATTTGAAGATTTCAAGTTTCTGAAGAATAAATGGAAAGGATTCTTTGGCATTTTGTTTGAAGGGTGCAAGACCATTTTATTATCATACATCCCTACTTATCCTAACGGACCGGTTACCCCTAGCCCGGATTAAGTCTTCAGACAGTCAGTAATAATAATTTCCAAGGCGTCCCCGATCATAAAACTAACCCCTCACGTTGAGGAGTAAATGAAGGAATTTTATTTTCTCCGAGGAAAAAAAAGGGTTGCTTCTTTTCTATTACCTGGAGACGAAGGATTGTGTGCGATGGACGACAATCTCCCTGTGGGGGAGGTTTTACCACCTCTCAATCTCTCATTCCCTCTCCTTGGATACTACCGTTTTTAAGTAGCCTAGGGTTCGTGTTTTACAACATTGAAAACCCCGACAGTGGTTTTGTAAAAGACCCAGAGACATTTTTCCGATGGTTTATGATATTGTCCGGAAAAAATATGATGGGGGAAATACCGTAAAGGGTTGTGGGGAATTTTTCGAACATTCAGGAAAATATTTTGGTGTTGTTTTGAAATAGTTACTCACTTGTGGGCACATCTTGCATTGATATTTTCTCGGTGGATGTGAGTGTGGGCCCCCCAGATGGGGATTTAGGTGCGACGGATGTGAAGGTTTCACTGTTAATGGCTGGGGTACAACTAGTAGACTAGCTGGTGGACTACCGCTGCTACTACCACCCCCTGTGCCGCGATATTGTTCGTCACCTGTGATAAAAAATTACATTTCCATTATTTCGTCATGCATGCCAATCAGCATAATTGCTTTCATCCTCGTAATTATTGCAATTATCGAAAAATTACCACCAGATTATGGTAAAAGGTGTTATTTAAAAACCATCAACAAAAATATCATCATGTGTTAATTAAGTATTAATTAAGTCATTCAAAACAGGACAAATCAAATCTGGGATGGGATTAATTCTATCCGTCCCCTCTTGAGAGACGGATATTTCAATTTTTCCAGTCTACTGAAAATTCTATTCTATTTAATGTTGAATTTTCACCATGAGTATCAAAATTCAAGTTTTCATTGGAAAATCAATTATTATTTAAAATGTAAAACCGATTTTCTAGAATTTTCTCGATAGATGACAACTTTTACGACAGCTAGTAATTGAAATGAAATTGAAATGCCTATAATTAAAAACTCAGTTGACCTGCGACAGAAATTTCATGAAATATTTACCAGTGTTATATACCTCGCATTAAGAATAGTAATGTTTAAAAAAAACTCTTGAATTGGTTGACGTAGTGAGCAATAAAGAACGATCTCTTCGATTCTATGATTGATGCAATAACACGTACAGATATAGCGTGCAAAGGGCAAGGATCCTTCGACTCGCAAGGACAAATTACATACGCAATGATAATTCTCACTATATCATTAATGGCTCCCTAATGAACCGACACGCTCGATCAGCATAAAACTTGATGAAGGATAGAACTAGATCGTCCCAATGCTAATGAGCAATCAGAAGACTATTTTTCCCTCGCCACTTTATTTTTCTATTATTATCATGATTTAGCATTATCATTCTGTTTTTTTTTTTTTCTTGGAAATATGTGTCGTCGATCATCGATCAGTCGACTCTTGATGACGAAATCATGAAGTTGACACGGACAAATTGAGAAATCGATGGCGATTAATCAATATGTTGGATTGATTTGGCGACGAATGCAGGTGATGAAAAGAAAACATGGTAATGGTGGAAATCAACGAATAATTGAGGGAATAGTTTTAACGGGTGAGTAGAATCATTTGAGATAACCCAAGGAGTTGAGAAAACACTCTTTCAGCATATCTAATTGATCTTTCCAGTGCGCTTGAACCCAGTGATTACAATTTGCATGCACGTAAGACAGTTACACACGTGTATTACGTACATTTGAATATATGAGGTATCGCACACCTTTCGTGATGTGTGTTTTAACGCGAGAGTTGTCTTCAAGTGATTTGGTTTCTTCTGATGATATCCCTCTCTGTTCTTTTGGACTTTGCATGCGTCTCTTATTCATCCTGCGGTATTGCCTCCAGGCGATATGGTTATGAGAAGTCATCATCATTATCATCAGGACTCGATGGAGTTTGCGATTTTATGTGGTTTATCGTACATTCTCACCCTCTACCTCATTCCGATATCCACCTCATTTATTTTTACTCTCAAAAAGCTACTTAGGGGTATCCAAACACTCGTTACACATGTGTGCGGCGGAAAAAAATGATTTTTCTCAAGGATTCGTTAATTCAACGTTGGTGCCGTGTAAAATATTTGAATCCTCTCATTAAATATTTACTTAAACATAAATATTTAATTGACAGTTTTTTTTTTATTTTTATGGTGAATAGTTGAAAAATGTCGCTGCAAAATTAGCGTTTTCTGGTTGAGATTATTCGTTGTCAACTTGAGATAGAAATTTTTGACATTTGGGGACTTTTCACGTCTTTAAATTCCGCGACGCGGATTAAAACTTTTTTTAATCACCGGCTTAATGTTTTTTTTTGCTTTCATCAATAGAATGGATTTCGATTTTTAAAGATAATTTTTTGGAATGGAATTAATTGTTTATAAATAATTTGTAAATAAAAGGTAATTATCTTTGTGAAAACTATTAAATGTTGTCAATCATTCGAAAAAGATTAAGAATTAAATTAACAATTTGGAATGTTGTGTAATAATAGTATTATTAAATTGTCGGAAATCTAAAATCAAAACAAAGTTCAGATGTTCAACCACAAATATAAAGAATGGTTCCGATAAAAAAATGGATATCTTTAAATTCTGACATTTTATAAAATTAACGACTTTCGATTGACTATCTGCCCACTCAATTTCTAGTGAATGCAAAATTGATGAGGATTTATGCCACCAGTAATTTTTTCAGGTATAAATATTAAATGAAGTAGAATATAAATACATTACGACCTCTCGATTAAATTTTCATTCCGAGGACTGAATTTATTGGTGAAATAATTTATTGAGAGAGTGAAGCATCAGATTGAGTGCATCACGAAAAATCAGAGGATTCATCAGTTGACGAGTGAAAATCAACAGATTTTTCTCTACATATGGAAATAATAGGATACTTTTCACAACGAAAAACAAAATTTCACGAGTACTGCCGAACGAAACGACGGAATAATTAATAAAACCGTTCGGTTGATTCTCGTGGGAGTCTGCGTTAATTATTTTTTGCTGTAAATGATGATTAGATGAAAGTTCGTTAGATGGGGGAAAAAAAATGTAAACTTCATCTCAAAGTTTACAATAATCAAGCCTCATTCATTAGTCAATATTTTAATTCATAAAAATAATGTCATTTCTCTGTATTCATTAAATTATTATTTATAACAAGAGTCCTTATTATTTCAATCCAAGATGATTCGTAATACATAATGGATGACTTTAATTTTACGAAACCGAAAAACAGGTATGTCAGTTCGAGTTCTTGAGGAAATCTGTAGATCGAGTTGCAAAAAAATTATTCGGAATTTTTGTGCCATGAGACACGAATATTCAAGTGGAACCACGACCTATACCCGTCGACTCGCATCACTGCGCAGGATTATTTATTTTTGTATTGAAAATGATGGTAAGGTCATGCTGCAAAAAAAAAAAAATAATAAACAGGAGAGACAGAAAAAAAAGATGGGACAAAAGAGGAGCCAGAGGACACAGTGAATTATGCAAATAAACTCTGGAAATGTCAGCGGCTATGTGAGACGTATCGATTAATCGATTTTAGAACTGAATAGGTACAAAAATTTTTTCATCCCACGTGTGATTTTCAGTTCCACAGCTGTACAATCCTCTTCTGAACAGATATTTTGCGTAATATTTATAAGCGTGTACTAATTTTGCAATAAAAAAATAAACACTGAGAGGAGAATTTACCGTTTATCCAACAGTTGAAGAGATTTTATTAAGTGAAATAAAATTAATCTATCTCATTCATCTTGGTTGATCTCGCGAAGGAAAAAATTATTTTTTTATCTCATCCCGGAGGGGAAAAAAATTGTACAGTTCCACAGGTGTAACACATCTTAAAGCCAGGAGATATAAAGGAAGGAGTGAAATATAAAAAACGGCGTCTACGCCCATAAAAAAGACGATATAAAACGATAGAGTGATCTGAAATGGTCTAGACGTATGGCAGACGGTTGGGGGATAAATGTCGTATGATCGACGTGTTTCAGGCGTCAGATACGATTGGAGGTCATGCTAAATCATAAGAGTATTTTTTTTTTCAGCAATTATACTGTTGATCATTTCGTAATTCAACATGTCAGAGTACTCCGGCAATTCGTTATTCATCGAAATTACAGCTTTTTTACAGTTTTAATTGAACTGCATTTTGCCCTCACTTTCTAGTCGAGACTGGGGTTTTCAGGTGTGAAGTTCATTTTTTGTTTTGAATTTTCAACGGAGTCTTTGGAGATCTAGATAAACCGGAAGTGAACTCTGGACGACGATGCATAAAGCCATTGGAATAAGTGATTTTCCAAGATGGTAACTCTTTTGCAATAGGTTTTGCCGAAATTCATAATAAATTTCTTTATAATCAGAATTTTTGTAAAAATGAGCGCTGTCTATTAACTCACCCCCAAAATCATGCCTCTCCCATAACTCATCCCTCCACGGTACTTGTGGCAATGAAAAATAAAAATTGAGAAATAGAATTGGTGAATTAAGGTTGTTTACTAGAATTGTAATCAAACATTAAATTTTTTATTAAACCGCCACTTGACCCTAGATTTGCGAATATTTTGGATAATTAATATTATTAAAATTAAAAAATTTCGGAATTTCTCTCATGATTTTTTAATGCGAAAAATCTTTGAATAGCGGAAATTCATGAAACGATGGCAAAACTGTAATTTTCCATACCCTCGAAAATAATTGTTTAAACTCGCAATAAATTCCGGCATTGCGAAAATTCGAACCAAAAATCAATAACAACTTCCATGATTAATTTACGAGATAAACACATAAAATATCCCTATAACGCAATATTATTGTATGCAGATGCAAAAGGTAGCTGGATTTTCTTAAATAACAAACTCATTAATGTCCAAGACTTCTGAGAAAATTCCAAAAGGTCGGCTGAACGATAAATAACTATGGAAATTCTCTGACAACCATTTGTATTAGTAAATATAATTTAAAAATCAATAAAGAACAATTGAATTTTGAGGTATGGATCGGGTAATTTTTATTGAAATGAAAAATGAAGGAAAAAAGAATTGTCAGGCGGAGTGAAAAGCAGGAAGACTTCTCTGTCATCAGAGATTGCGTAGAGGTGACTATCCATGCGGAGGGGCCATTTTAATTGGCAGTAAAGTTTCAGTTGATGTCCAGCAAAAACATGAAATACAACCCAACTCGAGTGACTGGCTCCAACTCATTTTGTTGTTATACCAGTCCCCGGTTGATTTTCCATTCTACTCAGAATGTTCCCGGATGCATCATCAACAGGTGAATGTGTCTGCGAAATCCTCAAACCAGAATGAGAATATCGTCATCACACGTCCTTTCCAAATATCTAGATGTATAAATCCTTTTTCCAAATTTGTCAATAGCCCATTAAAACAGAAGACACTTGGAATAAAACGGACACCCATCAATAATTGGGTGACTCTGAATCTTTAATATTTTTCTATATTCAACGACCATAGATAAATTTTTTTTAAATACAAATTTTGCAGAACTTCAACACGACAAAAATTGCCGAACTCCACACAAATAATTTAAGAATTACTAAAACTTCCGACACTCCGATTAGGGACTCCATCTCCACATGACTAAATCGGTCGATCCTCTCATGACTAATTAATATTAACACAATTCGTTGAAAATTAAGATGATCCTTTGAAAAAAGTACTTTACTGCGTACACACAGAGTGTACTGCGATAAAAAAATTCTAAATTAATTTTGTTCTCCCAAGTAAATTTACTTGGCATACATAAATGTGTATAAATATGTACCCTGAAGTACGTGGATTTTTTTGTATAATTATAAATTTACTTGGCATAGCTAAGAATTTTTCTCCTGCTGTTATGAGCATTTCGATTAAAAAATCATGTATTGAACTCATATTTAAATCGAATTAATGTGATTTTGAGAAGAGGTTCACCTCAGAAGTAGTAGGGTGGAAAGGCTGATTTTGATTCTAATAGAGTGTAGTTTTTTTTTCTGAATGACTGGCGGTAAAGTCATCAAGGAAGATCTTATATGAGCAGACTGAACTGCTCATATAAAGGAGACAAAGAGTCCTGGGATGGACTGACTGAGAGAGAGGAAATCTTCAAAAATGTTGGAGATGGCCTTGAGGCGACCAAGACACCGGATTCATCCTCTATTTAGGCATCATGCGATCTGTGCATTAACGAGGAAAGACGTTATCTACCTTCGGAACGTTTGTTCCAGACTCCTTTCGGCCCCATTGCGCAATAACCACTTGTACACTAGGATATTCTCAATTGTATAGGTGTTGTATTTTATTTTTATTTTTTTTTTCATGTTTTTGCCGCGGGCGCCGGCTTCCTGGTAACCGAAATATAATCACAAGACTGATTTTGTGCTTAGAATCATGACGCCCACTTCAATAATGGGTTTTTGAATAGGTTGAACTGAGTTTTTTTTTCGCGGGAAGAAAAAAATATTCCCAATTGCCGATTTTTTTTTTATTTAAAAAAAAATGGCACAGCCGGAGAGAATTTTCCAAAGTAAGAGATGCTGAGATAGTTATGGATATCTATTAAAAATGGTTTCATTCTCAATTTTTCATATTTTTCTTTGTTTAAACGAACATCAAAAGATAAATTAAGGATTTAGCAAAAGTTATTCGATCGATAGACTGTCACGAGGGATTCTTCAAAAATGAAAAAAAAATGCAGATGATGCAAAAAATGATTAATAAGCATAATAACATCATCGAATGAGCACAAAATTCTGATTGGTTGTACTTCAACGATGTTTTTTATACTAAATTTATCAGGTGGTTGAACAATGAAAATTTTTTTTTTTCGAAAACAGAAAATTGACATTCAATATGATAATAATGATTTTTAAGACTGGGCTTATCATTTCAGGTAGTCTTTCTGTGTGATCCACTCAGATCGGGTCACTCCTCAATTTAAATAAAAAAATTTCGGTATCACCCCGCAAATTCCTGAAATTGATCCTGAGTTCGGCGCAAATTCATGATGTTGAAAATTTGAAGTGGTAAGGAATTTTTACTTGAATTTTAAAAAATCCCTAGTGGTGCAACTATGCAAAATGCACTAGAAGAAAAATTTACTAACAAAATGGGAAACGAGATCGAAACGTCGAACAAGATAATGTACAATGAATTCATCTGTCTACTTGAAATTTCATATAAATTATGACGATGATAGAATTATTCGATGAGATAATGAGTAATTCGTCCTCTACAATTTCATTTTGAGATTTTTGGAACGATTTTCTTATGTCCAATTGGATTGCTTTTGTTGGTAATTTTTCCGAGAATCGTAGAAGAAGGGATTTTTGGATAAACATTTTACTAGTATGCCAGACAATATCTTGTACTTCTGTAATGAATCATCCGATTCCCGTCATGGTCTGATGCAATGAAGAGGGCATAAACCTACATTTTTAAGCCATGAGAAAATCTCTTGAAATAGACATTTTCCTAGTCATTGTTGAAATTCTTTTTCTTTAAATATCAATATGTTCAGAATTCTACAATAAATTAAATTTCAATTAATCTCAGCAAATGAAGCATATTGATGCTCACGTTCAGAGAGAGAACTCTCAATTTAAACCACTCTATGAAAAGATACTGTATTTCCTCGTATTTTAAAAAAGAAAAAATGAAAAAAAAACACGAATTTGAACCTATATACAAAACTTCGACAAAATGACAAACAAAGTTCAGTACACGGACAGAAAAATTCGATAAAACATGAATTAAACCTTCGTCAGTTAATTTTTACAGAACATTCCCAATAAAAATGGTAGAACCCCCTGAAAAAACTTAATTATCTCTCATTTGATACCTAATTATATGTCTTTTAACTTTTATTTTCACCCACAAGCTGTCCGAATTTTCACATAATTTTTATCGAAAATTTCCTCCTCATGGGGGAAATATAGGGTTTCCCAAGTTCTGTATACGTTTCAAATGTACCAATTTCCTGATTTTGAATTTTTCAAATTCCCTTCATTCGTTTCGATCAGTAGTATCGAGTCATGAAATACCTAACGTGTAAAGGCATTGGCAGTGAAAAGCATTTATGGAAACGCGGCACAAGCCTTTTACGATCCGACGATTACTCAATTCCGTTGGCAACAGCTCAGAGAGCGAAAACGAGAATGAAAATAAAAAAAAAACCGGGGGGAAAAAGGTGAGATGGAGTAAAAAAAAAAAACGTCTAACGTGATTGAGGCGTTAGGTCATTGCCAGTGAGCCAGGAGGGAAATGCACTCGGCAAAAAAAATACCTTAGAAAAACGGCTGAAAGGATCCAAATGGAGACAGGTTACTTGGCAGGATGACCCATATGCAATTACGTAACTGCGACCTTGGAAGACGCAGGAAAACCAAAAGATCCTTTCTGCTTCCTCTACATTTTTATTTCAACTTGCACAGGGAACCTGAAATCTCGACTTACGATGTATGTGTGTGTGACAGAAGTCGAAACGTAAACATAGAAGTGAGCAAAAGAAAGAGGATGAAAGAGAGACAGAAAGAGAGAGAGAGAAAGAGAGAGGAAAAAAAAAAGAACCGGTTGGTGTTGGTTTGCATTTCGTGACGTAAGACCAATGACAACGCACATGAGTTTTCATTTTGACTCGTCAATTCACTCGTTCAACTGGATTATATATATTTTATTTTCCTTTATTTACCTTTCTGGATTTGTCCGTGATCGGCATTCATCTTAGCCTGCAACAGGAAATGCTGAGATTACGAAGTAAAAAGGTTATTCTATTGGTGATTTGGTGGTGCAACGAGATCTGAGACTTCAAGAGGCTCCATACGTTGGGATTTTACCGATTTTATCGTTTCGTTTATTCTCAGTACTTTGGAACTATCATTTTTTTTATCTTTGCTTATGGCTTTTTTTCTCACTGTAAAAAATGATAACAGCGTGAAGTTGGTTTCTATCGAAATATGTCGATATTTTTTCAAGCGCGTGAATTGTAAATTTTAATTAAGTAATTGGTCGTATTAATCACACGTAATTACTCAATTTTTACTTTGATATTTTTATCCATTGTTTATCTTTACCCATATGGTTTTATGATGAATTTTTGCAAAAATGGTGGAATGGTGGAATGGTTTATTTTTTTTTCATAGAATTATTCGCTATTTATTGTTATTATTAGTCGAAGAGAGAAGTGTGAAGTAAGGACTGAAAAAATTATTCATTTTTCGCGTCATAATTGTGTAATGTGTGGTGTTTATCGCGTTTCTAATTAGATTGCTCTTCGATGAATTTTAATTAACTATTTAATTTGCGGAAGGTCATCGAGTTGATATCTTTTGCATTATTTTCATATTGGTATACAATAGATCCTTCCTCATTGTTGAAATATTATTAATCTTTATTAATTTTTAGTATCGCTCCACTGAATTGACAAGTGAACAGACCGCTGTTTGATTATTATTTATTAAAGTAAGTTTCCACCGATTTTTGCCATGAATTTTCATAACTAATATTCATAAATACATTTTACTTCTGTGGTGCATAGGTAAAAGGAGACGATTCAGCTGAGTTTTCCTTCAATATATAGGAAACTAAAGGAGATAATACAATTTTCTTCAGAACCTTTTTCATAGATCTAATTAAGAGCTACAAAAAAGTTATGATAAACATTTTCTTATCTCTACTAGTTTCCGAGATAATTCTAGAAAACTCACCAAAAGTTGAATTAAATAATCTCTGTTTACCCCTTCGATTGGATTTTTAGTTATTTTCTTGTTCCCTAACAGAGAGAAATGCTTTCTTGTGGCGAGAAATTCTCGGTTTATCGTAAAATTTTAACGTTATGAACATTCATACATTATCTGGAGTTGTTATCTCAAGATATTTATTGTCAAAGGATAAGATATTCGATCCGAGAACTGAGTGTTTTCATACTACGGTACTATCGGTGTACGATAGAAATTATATAGTGAAATAAAAAAGGGGCGATGGAGGAAATTCTCAGATCTCCTTACACCATCCGCTCTGTGGAATAAAAATTATGAAAAACTAACTTCGTATCCCTGTTTGGTGCCTCGTCCTGCGCCCCAGTAATCTGCATCCTTTTCATGTGGATTGCACTGCTGCAACAGAAAAGGAATCCAATAATTGACAAACAGATATATCACAAGACTAATTAAAACTTCATTTGAGTGAACATTAACATGGTTTCACAGTATCCCCACAATCATGCCTCGCATATATTTCATCCACTTGATTATTCAAATATTGATTCTTCAAAGTTGTAATTAAGAACGGAGAACTGAAGAGATCATTCCTCACATTTAAAAATTTT